ACTTATCAAAGACACATACCAGAATGATCACTTGTATCCAAGCAGTTTTGGTTGTAGCTCCAAACCAGAAAACACCCAAATGTCCATCAGCAGAAGAACGTAAACAAATAAAAATACATGTACACAATGGAATAGCATACAGCAATGAAAAATAACCACATAACTTGAAGGAAGATCTCAAACATAACATTCTGTGAAAGAGGCTAGATATAATGATTACATTACTGGACTAAACTACTAGATTCCATTCACATAAAGTTCAAAACCAAGCAAAACTAATCTAGATGTTAGAAATCAGGAAAACACTTTCCCATTTGGTTGTGGGGTAGGTTATGATTAGGGGGAGGAATGCAAAGGTTCTTAGGGCCAGGCATTGTTCTATTGCATGATCTGGGGGCTTATCCCATGGGTTTATTTTCTTTGTGACAATCCATTGAATCACATACTTAGGATTTATGCACCTTTATTTATTTAAAAGTTTACATTAAAATGAAAGGCTGGAGAGTCATCGGGTTGCCCAACTTAATTATAATTCCCCAGTCACTTTTAATCAATGCTACTAGAAATGTATGTAGAAGGAGGGACAGATTTGGGAATACCAGGTAATTTACCCTGGTAACTCCAGTTCTGCTCCTGGTGAATCCTATCATGTACATAAGCACAATTGAAACACTTGTGAGGTTAATGGCTATATTTTCAATAAATTATTACACAGGGTGTCATTTGTCATACAGGGTCTTCCTCTCGACACAACAGCACATGCTGGCACTGTTCTGCAGTGCTTCCTTGGTTCTGCTTTGTGGAACAGATGGCTGTGCAACTGTCTCCTTCCAGCAAAACTGTCGTCTTCCTAGGTGCCGAAGACACTGTCGTATTTTCCTTCCTATTAGTCTTTCTGTTCGCAGCGCAGAGCCTTATGCAGAGGGGATCAAATCTCAGTTATGCTTGTTTCATTTTGGGGGTGGGGAGTGCTTATTGTTTTGCTGATCTGTTTTTATTTGTATTTTAATTAAAAGTGAATGGGAAGCTTGAGCTCTCTTCATACTTCTTCAAAAACATATACTTCTAGGGAGGCAGTGTGAGGAGGGATTACTGGGTGTGCTGGTCATGCCCCAGTTCTTGGTCGGGTGGTAGGTGTACAAGTGTGCCCACTTTGCTATAATGTATCAATCAGTGCACTTACTATCTGTGTACTCTCTTTATATGGTGTATGTCAATTAAAACATGTCATCTACATGTATATAATATATAGTTCTAGTTAGATAAGACACTATGATGAGAGTTTGTGGAAATGGTCATGCTCATATATTGCTTGTGGGGGTGTAGATTCATACACTCTCTTTGGAAGGCAATTTGGCCAAATTATCAAATGAAAAGGCATTTACCTACCCTCTGGCTGAGCAATGGCTAGTCTAGACATGTGCCCTCCGGTCTCTCATAACATGTGCAAGCTGTTATACAGTCAAGGTCATTCACTGCGGGACTATCTGTAATAGTAAAACTGGAAAAATAGAAGAAAGAACAGTCCTGGCCGGTTTGGCTCAGGGGTTGAGCGCGGGCCTGTGGTCTGGAGAGACCTGGGTTCGGTTCCCGTTCAGGGCACGTACCTCGGTTGCAGTCTGTCCCCGGCCCTGGTTGGGTCATGCAGGTGGCAGCCACTCGATGTGTCCCTTTCACGTTGATGTTTCTCTCTCTCTCTCTCTCCCTCTCACTCTATCTGAACAAAATATCCAAAAATGTCCTCAGGTGAGGATAAAAAAGAAAGAACAGATCACTACAGATCCACACACTAGAACATTATTCGGCAGTTAGGAAGAGGGAGGCAGATCTGTACTTGCTGATTTGGAAGGATCTTCAGGTTAAAAAGCATGTGGAAGATGCTCCTCTGTGTGTTAAACATATGTGTGTATATTTATTTGTTCCTAGAACATCTCTAGAAAGATACACAAGAAACCGATAAGAGTGGTTGTTCCTGAGGAAGCGAGGAGAGGAAACAGTTCTCACTATGTGCTCTGCCTGATGTACATTTCAAGTTTTATATGTACACATAACCTGTTCGAAAAGTAGATGAACTCTAAAGCGAATTCCTTTGCTGCTGTCTTGTTCTCGCTCTCATTTAGGGACTTTCCAAACATTCTGTAATCGGTAGGTTTGCCTTCACTTTCTTCCTACAGCCTCCGAATCCATTCCACGGAGCAAAGGTCATAGTCTTCTTTCATGATATTGAACCAAGCAGGCAGGTCAGTCTTCTGCTGGTGACCTTATTAATTGAGTTTAGACCTCCAGTGAATTTGAACAGATTTTTAAAATAAAATATTCAAAGCCTTTTTGCCCTCTTTAGCTCTCCTTCCCCAGAGGCAGGAAGAGAGCGAAAGACAAGTTTTCTATTTGTCTTTCATCAGATTTACAAGTGCCATGAACGGGTTGTCAAACTGGAAGGGGGAACCTTGCCATTTGACTAGCAGAGGAAAGGAACAAGTTCGAGTCTCATGTGTGCCCTCGATTTGTAACAAGCGGATCTCAAGAAGCAGGTTAACTCGATGGCCTGAAGATCTAGAGAGCTCCTGGGGGCATTCAAAAGTATAATCAGAGGGAACCCCACAAGGCAGAAATAAGAGGGGTCACTGAAGAAACCAAACCAGCTTCCAAATCACTGATGGCCACCTGCAAAGACGGGAGGCCCAGGGCCAAGTCTGAGGATGTGGGATGGACAAACGTGGAGGCTTCAGCGAGGCTGAGACGCAGATTTGCAAAATTTACTATGTACAATGTGTGCAGGTCTTTTAAAAAGCATATTCAAAGCAAAAATGGCTTGGATTAGATAGTGCTATTTTATCACAGAATAAAGAAAAAGCAAAATCTGTTATTCAGTGATGATTTCATCCAGCGCCTGTATTTTACCAAGATATATGACAAGCAGGGTCCAAGATGAAACCCCACATGTCCTGTTTCTCAGTCCGTTGCTGTCTGTTCTCACGGGTCTGTTTCCTTCAATCTGGACTCTGGAACCAGACTGCTTGGATTCGATCGACAGTCTTGAGAGCTGCATGACTTTGGGCAAGTTATTAAATTTGCAATGCTTCAGTTTCTTCACCTGTCAAATGGGGATAAAACTAACAATACCTACACGGGCAGCTATTACTGGGATTGTTGAGCAATTCAAAGAGGGTCTGGTACCAAGCAGGTGTTATATAAATGCTAGCCATGATACTAATGGTTATTTTGCTTCCAATTTCTACATCAGGGAGAATCCTTTTTTAAGTGGGAAAGAGCAGAAGCAACATGGGAGGTATCACTTGCTTAGTTGTGGTGCCACCTTAGGTCTGACACAAGAAATCACCTTCTCATGAAGAGAGCTTCCAACAACTTCTGGGCTGGGGAGCTCAAGCCCAGGCGCAGGGCTTGCCAAGGGTGCTGAAAGCAGGTTGGTGTGGGTGCAGAGGCCCCCCTGGATGACCCCCAGGGGCCTGGTACTCCTTAGGTCTGTGCCGCCTTTGAGACTCGCAGCCCGGGGCAGTCACAGGGCCTGGCTTCCAGAGGTGGCATTGTTATCTCCATGGAAGAGAAGCAGTCTGTCCCCACTTTTCTGCTCCAGGTCCATGGAAAAGGACAGTCTCTGGTGTCACAGCCAAGACTTCCAGATACTCAGGTTGGAGTGGACCTTGAATTTATTTAAGGGCAGTTGCACAGCTGGGAACCCCACCAGAAGGGAATATATCCTCAGCTTTGCTAACAAGATCGGGCTCGTCACAAACCCTTCGGCCAGGGGTACTTCCCTGGGGTGGGGTGGGGGTATATCAATCAACAATTACTTCCCCTGGTTCTCCCAAACCTCGGTTAACAAGGAAGGGCCAGGGCGCCCACAGAGCCTCAGCTGGGCTGCAAGGCGGGGCGGCCTCTCGCCACCTGTCTCCTCGGCCAGGCGCTCCCCAGGGCTTCGGCATTTCCGCAGGCGCCGGTGCGGCTCTTTCCCTCTCGGTTTATTTCTCCCTCTTCTTGCTGGGTTGGAGCTCAGCACGCCAGTGCGCCAGTGCGCCACGCGACGTACGTCCCAGGGTCTCCCTTTTCGCAGAGAAGCCTTGCAGAAGGCGCATTTTACTAAGTCCTCGGGCAGCAAACCCGGAGGAGAAGGTGCCCTTATGGGCCAGGAAATCAGCCCGGGAACTCCGATCCCGGAATCAGGGGCCAGGACCGACGCAGGCCCAGGCGACTGGCGGGCGCTCCCAGCCAGGACTTCTCAGCCCTCCAGGGGGCTCCAGCCCGGGTCCCATCTCCGGGACCCCAGGCTTACGCTGGAGTTTCATCTCCGCCCCTGGAGGGTCTCAAATTGCCGTCCTCCGCCGCGAGGGCACCCAGCTTCCCCGCTCCGGGCGTTAATCGCCAGCCGGCGCTTCTGTCTGCGAGGTCGGGCGTCAGCTCTCCATCTGCTCGCGTTAAATCCCATTTATCTTCTTAGCACCTAGACCTGGTCGGCCCCGCCCCCTCCTCCTCTTTCCCCCTCCCACTTGCCAATCACAGACCCTCTTCTCCCTCCTCCCATCCCCCCGAGCGCGCGGGACCGACCACAGCGACCTTTGGAGGTGCTGGGGAAAGTCCCCCGGCTGGGTGGAACCCCTGGAGCCAAGCTGCAGGGGCGAGGACAACCTGGGGGGGCCGGGGGAGGCGCCGCAATGTTTCAGGGTGAGGACCACGGCCGAGGGTCCTGGACTCGCAATCACTGAACTCCTGCCCCCGACTTTAGTGGTTGAAGTTGCCCCTCCTAGTCCCCCAATCTAGGTCACCAGCCCGGAAGGGCTGAGCTGGGGGTCCTTAGAGGGAGTGACGGGCGGGCCGTCTGCCCCAGAGGTGGGCGAACAGCACATTGTCTCAGGGCCTGCCCCCTCCCTTCCACCGGATTGTAATTGCATCCTCGGGCGGGTCGAGCCTCCCTCCCTCCCTTCTCCGCCAGCGGGTCCCTCCCCGTCAGCCTCGTCGCCTCCCGCCCCCTGGAAAGCCCGGCCGCTGGCAGCCGGCTGCACTCCCGCACGCCCAGGTCCCTGCTGCCGCCCTGCCTCCCTGGACTCCGCAGCTGCTGCTGGTCCCGCGCCCTCAGCCCCCACTCCTGACCCGGGCCAGGGGTCCGCGGGGTCAGCGTCCTACACGCCCCCAGGAGACGCCCTTTTCCTGCGCGCCCCGGACTTGGTGAAACTTTGCGGGCGCCCGCGGGGAAATGGATTTAATCCAAGGCATCTTGTTCTGGTTCTTGCTCCTGGCTTCCAGTCTCCGACCCGGCTCCCCTTCGCTTGGAGAAGCTCTCCGAAGACCAGGTAACGCGCTCACGCGCCGGGGGCACCGTGCCCGGGGCGCCCAGGTCCGAGTCCCGGTCCCTGGCGCGGGCACAAAGCGGTCTACGCACCGCCTCTCCCCCTTACCAGCGCCTGTTTAGCTGGGTTCACCTCTGCTCGGGACTGAGAAAGACGGAGCCTCCCCCTCCACCCCCAGCCCAGGCGGTTCCAGGGAGGTTTGTTTGTTGAGTGATCTGTTCTGCAGGCACCGGAGAGGTGGAGGCTCTGCATTTGATCCCAGAGAGCTACGAGCTGGGTAGCGATCATGCTGTCTCAATTACAGAGGATTGCAACTGTGCAGAGTCAGACAGCCCCTCCTGTGTCTCCAAACATCTTACTGAATTCATACTGTCCAGAGCCCAGCCATTTCCTGTTAAGTGTCTGAAGATTTGTCTGGAGTTCCCTCTACCCACCTCTGGACCTGCCCACGCCAGGGTGGGGAGGTGGCCTCTGGTGCTGGGATTCTCTTCCACTCTGAGGACGTTTACTCAGAAAGAAGGACCCAGAGGGTTAATTTTATCTTGTTTGAACTCTTGCCTTTGCTCAGAGATTTAAACAAAATTGTATGGGTTATAGGCTATTAGAAGGAATTGAGAACTTGAAACACAGTAACTTGCATTTTCTCCAGTTATACCGGTAAAAAGTCTTCCTGTATTTTGTTTACTTTGATTTGGCCTGTGTTGTGAGATTATTCCAAGTACAACATTCTAAGCAGTAAAGTTCTAACCATTGTTTCCCCTGAATAATGATTTTTCTTTTTCTTTGCTGACACTATATTTAGAATTCTGAAAAATCTGTTTTTTCTTAGTTTACTTTGTAAGCAAGGTTGTCTTATGGGATTAATTATATCTTATGAACAATGGGAAACAATATAACTTTATTTGAATGCAGTCTGCAAAACGTTGCAGAAACTGCAGTTTGTCTTCACAAATAGTGTTTTTATAAGAAAGAGACAAACCAGGGGAAATTTATCAGAGGGCAAAGGAAATAATCTTGGCAGATTCCCACATGGCTACTTAAGTATGTTTGCTGTCCAAGGATCTCCATTTGGCAATATGACTTCTTGCCTTTCAGCTCTGGGACACGCCCTCACCCTTCAGACCATATCTAGTATCACCTGTGCCTTGCCACCTGCCTGGAAATTGAGAACATTATCATAATCTGCAACATACTTAAATTATGAGCTAGTCTGTTTTCCTTTTTCCACTGTTCAATTCACTTTGAAGATAATTGCAGCAGTCCAAGGTAACATTTTGTTAGTTTCTTTTCTTACATGCACACACATCTGCATACACACACCTACCAGGATCTCCATGAAGGACTTCCTTCTAACTTTCCTCCCCAAGGGAACATTGTGATCAATTGCGTTCGACGGGTTTCTTTACTGACATAAAACCATCTAGTCACAATTTTGAACAATGTGTAGTTCTTAATCATGAACAGTGTGTATACAATATATGGTTAAGGATAGATTTCAATCATTGAAGCAGATTTCATTTTACAAAGCATTTTACAGAACCCCGCGGTATAAAACCTCTCCTATGATTTGCCATATTTCCTTTCTTATTTTTTGTAGTTCCTCTCCTAGAAGTATTTTCTACCTGGTTCATCCAGAGCCTCATTCTGCTGTTCATGCCATGAGTGTGCCATGTTGGCCTCTTTGGTTTTATTTGAAGCATAGATGGGGTTTTGATCATGGAAACTCCACCCATTGAACATGTTAGTATATTAAATACATCAGATTGGAGGTAGAAGGGGTGTTTCGACTCTGTTCCGCCTACACAAACTTTTCATTACTTTATAATTTTATCCAGACACTGGCTTTCAGCTCAGAAAGCCACTCAGATGAAAATGACAGCCACTTTATAAACTTCAGGGGAACAATTTCCTCCGGGGCTCATTGACATCCCTTAAAAAGACTAGTTTTTGATCCGGAAAATTGGTCCAGATTAAAAACTGAATGTGCCCTGCTTGGCTCTGATGTGAACACAACCAGCTAATTTATAATCTTCCCCAGACACCAGCAAAGGCTGTAGTATCCAAATGGGAGATTCTGTGTACCTTGTTTTCTCAATAGAACTTGGTCTGTGCGCGGTACTTTGAAGGTAGTGTGACCACCGCGTAGGTGTGCTGGAGTCGCTCTGGGTTATCCGGTGACCCTGTCTGTCTCCTCACTCAGCAAAATCTACTTTTGATAAGTCCAGCTTTGTTGGAGAAGTCTTGGATTCAGAATCAACCTGAAAAGTCCCCATCCTACCCACTTCTGTTGACAACAAACAAACAAACCAAAAACAAAAACAAGGAGCAGCTTCAATTATGAGTCTAATTTGGGTCGATCATAGGCTCCTTTCCTCCACCCCAAGATAGCACATCTGCTGTCACTGAGCATTAAGAAAGACACCTCTGCATTTTCTAAGACCCACAAGAAATGATAGTTTTCAAATTAAGTCAAATTAAATAATATTAACTAACACTAATTAAGTGCTTGCTACACTGTTCTACAAACTTGACATGCACAGACTTATTTGATCAACTCAACAGGTCTGTGAGGTGGGTACTGTTACACCCCTGTTTCACTGAAGATGAAATTGTGGCTTAGAGAGATTAAGTATCTCACCCAAGGTCACACAATGAGTAGGTGGCAGAATGGGAGCTCAGACTCTGACACTCTGCACCAGAAACAGAGTTCTCAGCAGCTCAAGGGCCCATGGCAGCCTGACTTGGAGGGTGTCTGCCTCCTGGCTGAACAGGGGTACCCCTTGAGACAGAGCCAGGAGGAGGGGTTACCCCTGCTGCTGTGTATGGGGAGCCTGTTAAACACTGCTAAGCATTTGTACATGGGATTGTGCCCAGGCCTCCAAAGCTAACAGAATGCGAATGATACCACTAGGGAGTTCTGGAAGCTTCTGTTTACTGAGCTATCCACTAGAATCAGGGGTGTAACCTTGCAGGGTAATGAAGCACTTGCTTCCTCTTGTTGAACTCCGAGGGGCTGAGGCCTGGGAGGGGCCCCAGGGTGCCCCGGAGTTCCTGGAGGCAGAAAGGCTTGTGAAGAATGTCAGGACCCTGTCATTGCCCAGGTCTTCGGGCCGTGGAGACCCCGTTTGTCGGATAGCCTTCATTCCTTTCCAGCTTATGAATTGGAATCATAGACCTGGAAGGAAGTGCAAAGCCCTCATTTTGCAGCTGGGCTGAGGATGGTAAAGGGACTGCCCAAGGTAACAGCCGAAGCGGAACTTGAACTCGTACCAGAGCCTCTTGAGTGGTCTCTGGCACTTCTCCCTTACCCTGAGTCTCACGGAGAGTGCAGGTGAGTACAGGTGAGCCTTCCCATGTGGGCCAGAACGCAGGGAAGGGAAACCCAGACACGTGCTGGACCTGCACGCACCAGGCACACCCAGGGAGCGCTTGGTGGTGATGAGCTCTCTGGGCCCGAGGCCAGCGCGAGGGTCCTGCCCTCTTCCACCTTTCTGGGTTACCCGAGGTCCCAGGGTCAGTGGGTCAGGTCAGGGTTCAGAACTCAAGGTTTTCCCTGGAGGACCTGGGGCTCCACCGTCACCCTTAGGGAGAGCAGTATCTTGTGAATACCAGGTTAATCAGGATGGGATGAGGGAAGCACAACAGGATGACCCCTTCACACTTCCCTACATTAAACTGGACAAAAATGATGATCTGGGAAATGCAGGAAGAAAAAGCAAAGCCTGGAAAAGCAGAGTTAGCCCCTGGATGATGTACCTTGTAGGTTAATGAAGGGGGTATACATGTGCCTCTAGGTGGTTTCTGCTGCTGCTCCTGTGAGGCTGGATGGGTCATGGGTCATGGGTCAGGGATCATCCTGTTGTCCTTCCCTCAGATACTGGTTGTCTCCTCCCTTCGAGCCCTCCTCCAGGTCCCCTCCCCAAAGCATGTAATCTGGGGAGGTTCCTTTCTTCTGAATGTCCCTACGTCCCCTTTCTAACCAGCCACACTCTACCTCAACAGTGATCTAGACTATCTTGCTATCTTGCTTCTTAGGGGAAACTGGAGCCCACAGAAGCCGCCAGGGAGACACACACACACAGGCGCGCGCACACACACACACACACACACACACACACACAGGCATGCCTTGTTTCATTGCACTGTGCAGATAATTGTGTTTTTTTTTACCAATTAAAGGCAAGATCCTCCACCAGCAAAAAGATTTCGACTAACTGAAATCAGATGATGCTTAGCAACTTTTAGCAACTTTTAAAAATTAAGGTATGTACATCATTTTTTGATCTAATGCCAGTGCACACCTAGTAGACTACAGTATGGTGTAAACATACCTTTACATGCACTGGGAAGCCAAAACATTCCTATGATTTGCTTTTTTGCGATATTCATTTTACTGTGGTGATCTGGAACCGAGCCCACAAATCTCCAAGGTGCACCTGTACGTACATCCCCAGCACCTGGTTACTAGGCCAATTCAGACCGTCCTCGTACCCTTCATCCCAGCAGCCCTCCTGCCCTTCATCATATCTAATCCCTACAAAGAAGCCCCATCCCCCTGCCTCTTTGGTTCCCCATGAGGTAAAGGGACATAGGGGTCAAGGTCAGGGGTATATGTAGTAAAACATAAGGCAGTACTTGTTTCTCAGAATTCTTTCTCACGGAGGAGTGACTTGGCCAGGAAAGAACTGAGTGGTGTTTTTTGTCTTCATTTCTTACCCTGAGCCAGGGCCCTTATAACCTTAGAATTCTTTGGGGACCAGTTGTCCATCTGTTCGTGGGTTACTGGAGCTCAGATGTGGTCCTGTGACTCAGACTAGATTTCTGGAAGCGTCTGAGGCTGGGCTGGGACCTTGGCTTCCACAGGGCTGCCCTGTGGGTATTCTGTATTCTCCTGCCTCACCCACTGGCCAGGCAGGGCTGGAGTTTCTCCCAAGCAACCAAATGAATGACGTAATGTCTTGATTGTAACAGGTCTTTTGAGCTGGCAAGACCCCTGCCACTGG